TGGACAACGGACCTGTTAAGTCACTTTGGTGGCCTGTTGCAGGTAAGTGGCGACGCACATGCACTGTTGGACTTTATTTTACCAGCGCGACGCCGATGTGACACTAATATTCAACATCCAGGAAGCTCTATAGATAGTGGATCTGTGATCAGAAAAGCATTCCCAGCATGGTGGTGTCACCATCTAGAAGTAGGTGCGATGAAATCAACTCAAATGCAGCATAAAAGTTAAGCAGAGTATGTTGACTGTAAACCCTGTCAGGAAATCCTGTTTAAAATTAGGTGTGTTTTGTAACAAGGTACAGTGGCAGCTGGACTATCACAGACCAGCGACGAACTAACGTTAGCCATCGGCCAGTTATACCAGCTTAAGGTGGTCGTCCGGGTTTTTGCAACATGGTATTTGGTAGATGATCATTAAGCTGGTGTAAAAAATAATGAATAAACAATAAACCCACTGCTTATATGAGATGGTCAAGCTTGTTTTGGTCAACCAGCTAATTATGATGATAATGATTTAGTAAAGTTAAGGGATGTTAAATTGTACAAAATAACTAAATAGCATGCCAACTTGATTTCTAGCTAATCAGATATAATTTTAAACATGGTCAACCAGCCTAAATATTGTCAAACTTGTAGAAAAACAGCAAAACAGCAACAAACTGGTGATATGAAATGCTCAAGCTTTTCACTGGTCAACCAGCTATATTTGATGATTATGACTTAGTTAAGTTCAGAGAAGTTAAACTGTACAATAAAACTAAGTAGCACGCCAACTTGATTTCTAGCTGATCAGAAATTATTTTAACATGGTCAACCAGTGTAATATGATCAAACTGGTAGAAAAAAAACAGCAACAAACTGGTGGAAGGAGATGCTCAAGATTGTTTCTGAAACATGATGACTGGTCAATCAGCTAATTAATATGATTATGATTTAGTTAAGTTAAGAGAAGGTAAACTGTACAACATAAATAGCATGCCAAATTAATTTCTAGCTATCAGATATAATTTTAACATGGTCAGACTAGTTGAAAAAGAATAAAAACAACAAAACAGCAACAAACTGGTGATATGAGATGCTCAAGCGTGTTTCTGAAACATGATGACTGGTCAACCAGCTAATTATGGTGATTATGGTTTAGTTAAGTTTAGAAAAGTTAAACTGAACAACATAATAGCACGCCAACTTGATTTCTAGCTAATCATATATTTTTTAACATGGTCAACCAGTCTAAAATGATCAAACTAGTAGAAAAACAACAAAACAGCAACAAACTGGTGACATGAGAAGCGTGTTTCTGAAACATGATGACAGGTCAACTAACTAATTATGGTGATTATGATTTAGTTAAGTTCAAAAAACTTAAACTGTACAACATAAATAAATAGCACACCAAATAATTTTCTAGCTAATAATCAGACATTATTTTTAACATGGTCAATCAGTTTAATATCATCAGACTGGTAGAAAAACAACAAAACAGCAACAAACTGGTCAGATGAGATGCTCAAGCTTGTTTCTGAAACAACTGGTCAACCAGCTAATTATGGTGATTATGAATTATTTAAGTTCAGAGAAGTTAAACTGAACAACATAACTTAATAGCACGCCAACTTGATTTCTAGCTAATCAGATATTATTTTAACATGGTCAACCAGGCCCGGATTGGCTAATCGGGAGGACCGGAAGAATTCCCGGTGAGCCGGTCTTTTTTTTGGCCGTGAGGGCCGGTGTCCCTAGCTGCTTGCACTCTCAGCAGTCACACTTTTTTTTACATCTATTATTGACCATAGCGTCACTCTTTTTATTCATTATTTTGCCGCAGCGCTGCTCTTTTTATTTATTTTCTCGCAGCCCCGTGAGCAAAATGCAGCCTGCAGGTTCACTAACGTTAATGATGATGTAACTGTCATGATTCTACCCCAAACAGCAGCACCTTAGTGAATATAAGAATTTGTATAATTAATATTAATGAATAATACACCTGCTTAATGAAAATCAGATGATTCACTACGTTAATAAATTTGGCATAGCTTGATCAGATATCTAAAAAGGGGAGAAAAAGATTAAGCCATCACACACGGGTCACAGGTCAATACTTTTGTTTTTTTTTATTCCCATAGTAATAGCGCCTTTGTGGACCAGTGGTAAGCACGTTACGTTTCATCGCTGTCGACCAGTGTTCTAATCTCACCTGAAAATGACTATTATTTTTTTTCATTTTTATTATTAAGACATATAATACTGTAAGGGCTGTAGAACATTTGAATTTCTAAAGCAGTTGTTTTCTTGAAAAAGACGTGATAGTGTCATTAGAAACTGAATTGGAATCAGTCGTGAACTGAGGTGGGCCGGTCTGGCTTGAAAGTCCAGGGCTGAAAATGAGTCCCACTCCGGCCCTGAGGTCAACCAGTCTAATATGATCAAACTAGTAGAAAAACAACAAAACAGCAACTAACTGGTGACATGAGAAGCGTGTTTCTGAAACATGATGACAGGTCAACCAACTAATTATGGTGGTTATGATTTAGTTAAGTTCAGAGAACTTAAACTGTACAACATAAATAAATAGCACACCAAATAATTTTCTAGCTAATAATTAGACATTATTTTAAACATGGTCAATCAGTTTAATATCATCAAATTGGTAGAAAAACAACAAAACAGCAACAAACTGGTTATATAAGATGTTCAAGGTTGTTTCTGAAACATGATGACTGGTAAATCAGCTAATTATAGTGGTTATGATTTAGTTAAGTTCAGAGAAGTTAAATTCTACAAAATAATGTTTTGGCATGGCAACCTTACTTCTAGTTAAACAGATATAATTCTATGCAAGATCAACTAGTTTAATGTGATCAAACTGGTAAACAAACAGCAACAAACTGGTGACATGAGATGCTCAAGCTTGTTTCTGAAACATGACGACTGGTCAACCAGCTAATTATGATGATTTTGATTTAGTCAGACAAGTTAAATGTACAACATAAATAGCATGACAAACTGATTTCTAGCTAATCAGATATTATTTAAACATGGTCAACCTGTGTAATTTGATAAAACTAGTAGAAAAACAACAAAACACAACCAGCTGGTCATTTGAGATGCTCAAGCTTGTTTCTAAAACATGATGACTGGTCAGTCAGCTAATTATGGTGATTATGATTTAGTTAAGTTTAGAGAAGTTAAACTGTACAACATAAATAGCATGCCAAATTAATTTCCAGCTAATCAGATATAATTTTACCATGGTCAACCAGTCTACTATGTATCAAACTAGTAGAAAAACAACAAACTGCTCAAATGCGGACGCTTGTTTTTGACACATGATGACTGGTCAACTAGCTAATTATGATCATTAAGATAGCCTACTCAAGCTTGTAGTATAGTCAATCAGCTAATTATGATGATTATGAATTGTTTGACAGTTAAACTTGAGCACAACATCAAACAGCTTGTTAACTGATTTCAAGCTAGTTACAGATGGTTATAAACTGTTAACTAGTCTAAGATGTTTATATTGAAAGAAAAACTATGCACATATTAAAAATATGATGTGCGATCAAATAATGAATTATGATAATGATTTACGTTAAGAACAGTTATATTCACAAATTAGACTGGTAAATAGCATGTCAGTTGATTTCTAGAAAGTCTGTTAGATTCTCATAAAATGGGAAACCAGCAACAACAAGTCACGTGAGTTGGTCTGGCTTGTTTTTGGAAAATGGTGACTGGTTAGCCAGCTGATTATAATTTAGTAAAGTCAGTCCAGAACAGCCATGTATAAATAAGTAGCATGTTATCTGATTTTTAGTTATTTATTTATTGCTTGTCTGAGATAATAATTTAATACAAGACCTGCTTTTGGCTGGACGGGTTTTGGGAACTAGTTAATTTATTCAGTTTTTTTTTTTTTGGCTTAGTCCTTTTATTAAGGATTTATCAGGGATCGCCACAGCAGAATGAACCGCCAACTTATCTAGCATATGTTTTACACAGCAGATGCCCTTCCAGCCGCAACCCAGCACTGGGAAACACCCATACACTCTTACATACACACACACTCATATACTATGGCCAATTTAGCTTATTCAATTCACCTATAGCGCATGTCTTTGGACTGTGGGGGAAACCGGAGCTCCTGAAGGAAACCCATGCCAACGTAGGGAGAATGTGCAAACTAAACAGAAATGCCAACTGACCCAGCCGGGACTCGAACCAGTGACCTTTTTCTTCATCGTGGCACCATGAACTAGTTAATTTTGTTTCTTTAAGTCAGTTCAGAACAGCCATGCACTGTTAACAAACTAATTATTAAGCTTTTAAAACCAGCAACAAAATTAAAAATATGTTATATGTTAGCTGATTTTTATGTGGTCTGACATGGTCATTAACAGGTAGATCACCAACAAACTGGCTATGGGCTTGTCAACGTGATGAACATGATGACTGATGAACCTGCTAATTATGATGAATATGATTTATTAAAACTGTTCAAAATGATCAAATCAACTGTGTTTTGAAGCATCATAGCTGGTTTAAGATAATTAAACTAGAAGTAAACCTGCAACAGACTATATACTGGCAGGTTATGTGAGTTGCTCAGGTCGACCAGTTAATTATTATAATGATTTAATTATGATGATAATGATTTAGTTAAGTAAGTTAGAAGAGCGGTAACTGCTCAACCAGCCAATTATAATAATTTGGTTTTAGTTGATATATTTAAAATGGAAGCTTGCTTCTAGCTGGTTTAAGTTAGTCAAACAAATAAACCAGCAACAAACCAGATACCATGAAGTGGTCAGGTTGGTTTTCAGAATGTGTTGACTGGTCAACCTGCAAATTATGATGACAACGATGATGACATAGTCAGGTCAATCCAGAACAGCAACACAGTTTGCACAAACTAAAAAGTGTTTTGGAGCATGGTAGCTGGTTTTTAGCTGGTCCTCAATGGTCATTAGCTGGTCGTAGCTTGTAAACCAGCAGCAAGCCACCTACCAGCTCGTCACAAGGTGGTCAAGCTGATTTCTGATCAGCCAGCTGCCATGTTCTCATACAAAGACATCGTATTAGACCGCATTTTCTAACAGGACAGCGACTGATCGAGGATGATGATGGTGATGTGACACGGTAGGCCAGCGAGTCCAGCGCTGGGAACATCCACTGTGCACACGGGCTTCATAACAGAGCAGTCAGTGGGAACACTTGAACGCGCGGAGGGGGAGGAGGGCAGCGAGAGAAAACAAACCGAGAAAATTGTTAGCCTGAAACGAAAGTACCACTACCAAGTGCCATTCGTCCCCCACCGTTATTTGTTTTCGGAGCGATCTCTGCGATTGCGATGTAGTTTTGTCGACTTCACGCTGCGGTGTTGTTGCTCCTTTCCAAGCATCCGGTAAAAATAATATAAGTGTCTGTGGGGCTACTGTACGGACGGCCAGTGCAGAACTGTTCTGATGTGTCAATAAGTTTGAGGCTGGAATGAGAAGGCCCTGGCGTTCCGACCGGATTTCAGGGGTAAGTTTGCGTTCACAGATGCCGCGATGACTGAAAACTTGGACATATTTTGTGTACGAAAAGCCCCGAGTTCCGATTGATCGGGAGCTCGCGCGTAGACAGTGCGAAATTCATGCCAGTTTGCTGTGCTTCGGCATAAACAACTTTGGCGATCGGCGTGTTTGACACCTGCTCTCACCGAACATCAGGGTTTCTGTCAAATTCACGACGGTTTAACCATGTACGGGCGACCGTGCGATTATTACATATAGGTCTGCTAATGACACGTTCAGGCGAGCTAGAGCAATCTCGCATCACAGGGGCTAGCAGGCTAGCCAGCTACTTTTATTCTATCTGACTAAACGGAGCGAGAAACCCGAGCACAAAACCGTCTCATCCGAAAAGTCTGCTCCGAAAACCCCTAGTTTAAGTAATGAAAGCTCGTGGAGGGGGATCTCTCTCTGAAAATGCCCTGGCGGAGTTTGACAGGAGTGAGATTTATACTTCATCTTCCCCAAAGCAAGATGGACTCTCGGCTGTCTGTCTTGTCAGAGCCCAGATCGACATTTTGCACCGAGATGCAAACCGAGCACAGTTCAAATAAGGGGTCAGATGAGTTATGAAATGAGCTCGATGGCTTAAATAATTGGAGGATATCATCGACATCTTGCTTTGTGGAGTTCTCGATTCGGTGGTCGAGACTTCTGCAGGGACACACACTCGCACACACACACGGAGAGAGCACCTCTCTCAGGCTGTACCTGACAACTAAACGCTGCAATACTGTATATACCGTCCATCCACTCGACGAAACTGTGTCGGATGTGCTTTAATAAGACCTACGTGAACGAGCCGAAGTATGGCAAGCCTCTTTACCATTTGTTTGTTAAAACTTGTTTGTTTATTTACATTATTAGGTCTTATTGTGTCGTTTCACCAATGACCGTTCATCAGATAGAACACCATTCACAGATAAACAAGTGTTTACGTTGACAGCGTTCTGCAATGGCAAAGCAACAGGAAGTCATTCATTTGGCATGAATGTTTATTATTGTATGTGGTGCAAAAAGTTGAAATGAGTTTCATTTTTTGCAAACAAACAGTGTCACGATTAGTTGATTAACAGTATGACTCACTAGAACACTCACTAGAAATTGGATGTACAGCTATTTTTGTGACCCTGTCCGATTTAGGTTGTGTTCACAATTGTAGTTCAGTTCATTTGGTCTGAACCAGATAACAAAGCAATAGATTTAGGTTGTGTTGACTCTTGTAGCTTTGTTCTCTTGGTTCAGATCAGTAAAGTAAATAGAACATTTAAAGTTTTGTCCGGTTAGTGTTCACACTAGTTTTTTAAAACCAAACCTCATGATATTATACAAAAAAAAAATATTTATTTTGTGTATTTGGAACTTGCCAAACACCCAAAACTGAAGGAGCTCATAGTATGTATAAAGGAGTCAAAACCATGCTAAAAATTTTGTTCTCACACAAAGAAATGAAGAATTGCTGCAAGGAGACTCTTTTTACACCTGCATTGAACTGTAATAGTTGGCATTGTGAGTAAATAATGAGGAAAAATAGATATGGTTGAGCATTCTTTCATTTCTATGGTGGAATTTTTCGGTATCTTCAGTTTGGGATAGTTGTTTTGTTGTTGGTGCATGATGGAATTGCTAGGCGGTGTGAACAATCTCGTATCTTGAAAACATTAAATATCTCAGTATTTTCTGTATTTACTTTATTTTTTACATTTTAAAGTTTAAACTCAGAAATGTACTTGTTCAAATGTGGTCATATTTTAAAAATGTATAATTATAAGCTAAAGATTAGTGAAATATAAAACACTTTCAAAAATCAATGAATACAGGTCCAACATTGTATTTTTAAGATTCCAGTTTTCTCACTGTTATTCATGTTTCTGTCTGCATCCCTGTAATGGTGTGTAATATTATGCTTATATGACTTATTTAAAAAATACCATAAACTATTTATTTTGTGACACCACAAAATAAGCGAAGTTTGTTTATAAACTTATTTCGAGAGGATCACGTGCTTATGATTGCTTGCAGCTGGTCCTGCATTACTCAATTTATGATTCACCAATCAGACGATTACTAAGCTACTATAAAAACCCTATGTTCCATATGACAGCTATCTTTGTTTTGAAGAATCCCCCTTCCACCCCTACTCCTCCTCCTTTCCTAGATGGGTGGCACGGTGGCCCAGGGGTTAGCACTGTTGCCTCACAGCAAGAGCGTCACTGGTTCTAGTCCTAACCAAGCCAGCTGACGTTTCTGTGCGGAGTTTATGCGTTCTCCCTGTGGTCACTTGGGTTTCCCCAAGGTTCCCCAGTTTCCTCTCACCATCCAAAAACAATCAACTTAAGTTAATTGACTAACCCAAATCAGCACCATAGACATCTATGTAAATAGGTCTCTCTTAAGAGCAATCACTATCTGTTCATTAGCTACTACAGCAGTATAGTTCTCGAGATCTACTTGAGCTCAAACTCCCCTCTCGCCCCGGGCTCGAGGAACTTATGAGCTCAGGGCTCTCTCCCGGCACAGCATGCCAAACAAGCTTTATAATCAATCACCAGCTAAGTGTGAACTCTTGAAATAATATAGCATAGTATGAAATAGACTTTTAATTTTGTTTATATGATATATTTAGTCATATTGCACAGCCCTACGCATTCACATATTATTCACAACTCGTCTTGTGCGCTCTGAAGTTTAGATGACAGAGTACATGCTTATTCTGTTGAACCTCACTGACGCTCTATTCACACAAGGAGTCAGCGTCAATGCTTTCTATTCACTTTGAATCGGTGACGTCAAGCATTGCCGAACTTAATTGTGGATCCGAGAGCGCCGCTTCAGCAGCGTTGCTCACTGCAGATGTTAGTAATTTCTCAACTTTTTAAGCACCAAAAAGGAAGCGTCAGCCAATCAGATCGCTTTATACAAATATCCTAGCTCAGACAGTAGCCGATTACAGACTAATTTAATTGGCTGACGCTGCTATGATGATCGCGTCAGCCCCACCTTTAGAAAAGCCCTCCGTCAAGTGTTGATGCTGAAGCCCCATATGAATCGGGCGTAAGGGGCCAATCACATCGAATGCACTTTTATGTTTCTGAAACAACCACCACTAGTCTCTCCTCCATCTTTAAAAGCCTCCAGAGTTGTCTTATCAACACAAACATTGCTGTTACCTCAACGGATAACCCGCTTCTACTTTCATTTGATTGGATAATGAAAAAGATGTGATTGACCCAACATGCTTTTTCCGCTCAGAGTTGATTATTTTTCAACTGTGAGCACACAACTTGCAGCGACAAAAAATGCAAGGTGCAGCAGGCGGTTAAAATGCAAGGTGCTCAGGGCGCATAAGCAGCGTGCAAAATGCTCATGGCGGTTCATAAGATGGACCTATTAAAGCAAAAAGCTGATTTAGTATAAATGCTAACTAACAGATCCATGACACCAAAGTTTGTTTTAATCAAGTGTAAACACACCCTTAGTTCTGGATGGGAAAAAAAGATATATATATATATATATATATATAAAGAGCAGGGATTTGGTTCAAAGCAGACTGAATTATTGGAGAATACATTATTGATAAAAAGTCTGTTTTGTTTTCACCAGTTTTTTTTTTATTTGCTGGTATCGGAAGGTCATTTATATTTTGTAAGTTAAAAGAAAATGGGAAAACTGCATCATAATTGTGTTGTTTGTATAAAGGACACTTTCTTGTGAGGAGTCACCTGGAATTGGGTGACAATGAAAAGAAAAACTGCTGTTTGTAAAATCTGCGCTGCTAGTATTTCAAAAAGAAATTGAACAGCTAATCTGATAATGCAGAGTCACTTTTGTTTATGGTGAGGGAAAAATTTATCTTAGAATTCGATGTTAATAGGAATTATTACAATCGAAAGATTTCTCATTTATACTTTACAGTTTAGTTTATGGGTCAGGAATTTTAGCGGCACACTGCTAGACCTGTCACAATAATCAATGTATCGACTTAACGCACGACACATGGACATGAGCTTAATAATTTTTGGTGATTCAATAAATATCGCCCATACATGAAAACCAATTCTAGCAACGTTTTTGCTGATTTTGCAACATCTCTATCTCCATTGGAGGTGTCAGTTTCAGTATGGCAAAAAAAAAAACAACAATATAGTATTTACTATAAATTATTTAAATTAAATATAATTAAATTAAATTTATATTTATAAATATTTTCATGGGGCTGTCTGTCTTACAACTGAATATACAGTAGATCTGGTAGCAGATACCGCAGCCTCATTTACTTTTGACCCTGCACCTTTTTGTTAACATTTATTTAGGATAAGAGTTTTCACATTCTGATTCCAAGTCCGGATTATTAAATTGTTAAAATGACTATAATTAACTTAAATGTTATTAGGAAAAAAATGTGTTTGAAAGAGTGGACTTGCATTGTGGTGATATTATATTGTCATTTTGCCATTACATTTTGAGTGGCATAAAATGGTCTTAAAATGACATGAAATATAGTTTATCGCAATATATTTTGGTGCAATATATCATACAACAAATAATATATTATGACCGGCCTGAAAAATCTGACATTAATTAATATTTAATCTTTAATAAAGTAACAAAGTGAACCATTTCAAAAGCTTGAATGCTCAGAACTCTCTTGAAATGTGTACAGTCACAGGACTTAAAAAAGCATGCAAATAAAAAACTTTTACTCTATCATACTTAAACTTTGCAGTGGCTCCGTAAAGCTCATGTTTTCTGAAATGTGTGCTAATCAATTATAATCCAGACTCATTATGAAATATTGTGTGAAGATGTGACTACTGCTGAAGTCCATGATGCGATATTGATGCTGAAACAGTATATTGTGCAGCTCTATCACATTGTTCAAGTTTGGCAAGATGAATATTACTTAGTTTTATTTACTAATAGTTGCTTGTCACTATTGAACAGTGCTGAATAATCTGAAAATCTAAGTTCATATTTTGACATTGTGAATGAGACTATAGTTTTCATTAACCAAGTTAAGGCATAAATGTTAATACAGCTTGCCATATCTGAAGTGGCTTTAATGAAGTCACTGGATGCTGTAAGCGAAGCGATGTCTCAACTTTATTCTTTATCATCACTACTGAAGGTGCCACCCTAGTTTGCACATATGCCGGTAACTAATCCACAAACACAGTTAAAATGTCACTGACCGAAGAGGTCAGACCGGGGGACAGCGTAATGTGGTGCATTTGGCTTTGCTTTTGACGATTTATTCCTGTACTGAGGGCACAGTGTGTTTTTTTTTGTTTCACTTTGTAGGTCATCTTCATCGCATGATACAGCCTGACTGACAGATCCATCCTCATCTTTCAAATACCGTATTTCCATATTCTGTGGCTCTGTAAGTACGCCTTCACTTCATGCCATGTGTTTTCCCCCCCCTCCATCGGTTGTTATATCTCTTAAATTTACAGCCTAATTGGAATCTGATGCCTTAACATGGTGGATCAAACGCTCATTACATCACAGATTTTAAGCTTGTGCCTGTACATAATCACCTGCTTATTGGGTTGTGCTCAATCCCAGATAAAACACACATTCATTCTTCAACCTTTTATCATGCAAAGAGCCAGTCTGTTCAAACACGGTCTACTTTCCTGAATGACTGCATCGGTAACAAACTGCATTTTTGATCATCTTAGGACGCCGTATTATGAAATGCATAGTATGTTATTCTTTTAACCCTTCTATTGTAATCTGTGAAGAATAGGCTAAAAATACCACATTGTCTTTGGTAAATTGGAGCCAGGCTTTGTGACATTGTCTAGAATATATAAAAACAGAAATGATGAAAACTCATTTATTCATCCATTTTCCTTTGGCTTAGTTCCTTTATTCATCAAGGGTCACCACAGTGGAATGAACTACCATCTTATCCAGCATATGTTTTATACAGCGGATGCCCTTCCAGCTGCAATCCAGGACTGGAAAGCATCCATACGTTCATTCACACTCATACACTACGGCCAATTTAGTTGATTCAATTCACCTACGCCGCATGTCTTTGGACTGTGAAGGAATCCGGAGCACTCAGGGGAACCCACGCAAACACGGGAAGGACGTGCAAACTCCACACAGAAATGCCAACTGACCCAGCCAGGACTCAAACCAGTGACCTTCTTGCTATGAGGCGACAGTGCTAATCACTGAGCAATCATGCTGATCATGTGGTAATTTGTAAGATGTATTAACTTGTCTAATTTTTGACCCTTGTGGCTATAAAAAAGTAGTAATAAATGCTAAATACATGGGCTTTCTATTGATGTGCACTTCGAAAAGGACAATATTGAAAAATGTCATGGTTAAAAAAACAAAATACTGAGAAAATCCAAGACATCCTAGTGAAGTCCATTTTTTAAATTTTGTTTTTAATGTAGTTTCCAAATTTACATACAAGTGTTTGCTTTATTACAGGGCTTCTCAACCTTTTCCACTTTAGGGCCCACTTCTTTCTCCGATCAATTTCTGAAGGCCCACCTGTGTGACATTTTCTCTAAAATGTTTTAAAATGTTTGTATGAAATGCTGATTTTAACCTTTATTTATTAATACTAAAACTATATAATATAAATGTATGTATGTATGTATTTACAAATATATATATATATATATATATATATATATATATATATATATATATATATATATATATATATACACAGATTCAAAGAGAACCAAATGTCAACAGGGAGATTGCAAAATAACAGCTTCTGCTTTAAACTGGACCGACTGAATATCTACTATTAAATATCTACTATTCCAAAAATATAGAAAAAATAGAAAATACATTAAAAAAAGCTAAAAAAAAAAGATCAAAAAGCTTCGATCTGATGACGGTTGTGTTTGCAGCTGGATATTATTGGAAGATCGCTTACAGGAACCGTGAATAGCTTCACCAAAGAGCATCTGAAGCTCGTGTGCAATTTATTTTACAGTCTATGGCAGAAACACTCTTGAGCCTCGCTAGTTCCTGCTGTATGGGTGGGTGTCCGTTATAAAATACTCACAGGACATTAATTACAACTATGCAGATATATTTAATAGTTCACACAAAAATACACCAAGTTAGACTTTCACTTTTATTTTACACATAGTTTGTGAATGAACAGACTTGCGTACTAGTTGCAGACGTGATCATGCGGCTGATTTTGCGCCGAGTTTGAAGTAATCAATCACAGAACTGGAGAAAGAGCATTACTCGATCATTTTAATATAGCAAACTATTAATGAAATCCAAAAAGTATAGTCTAATATAAAGAGTTAATTTTAAGCTTTGTCGCGGCCAACCTGCAGGATGACTGAGACCCACTAGTGCCCACCGGTTAAGAATCCCTGGTTTAAAGTGTCTTCCCACATTGGATACACAAAACAACTCAATTAAGCAATCTAGAGAAGTGTAGAAAAGAACAAAAAAAATAAATACGAAAATTTCATCAAGGAATAAAAGACATCAAAAGAACATTATTTTTTAAGTCCAGCAAAGAACGGTTCCAGAAATCTGGAAAACAAAAGCCAAAAATAAAATAAACAAATAAATAAAGTGGTAAGAGTGAGAAAGGGTAAAAAATCAGACAGCTTTTCTTTTCCTCGATTGCTTTTAAAAACAGTATCAGTTTGGTTTAAGGAAGGCGGCGGGTGGGTCAGTCAGTCGTCAGTCAGTCGACAGCGGCCTCTGGTAGATTTGCGTGAGAACAGCAGGCGCAAATGGCACTCACGAGAGAAATCTGAGATCTTAAAAAGCGTACACAGCAGCCTCTGTTGGATTAGCGCAAACAATAACTGCAAAAAATGTACCTCCTGGGATGTATTTCACACTCTCCAGAAATATAAACAGGTACATATCAATAATGAGGCTGGGTTGGAGTTTTTATATGTTTATAGTTGAAAGTTTACAAAAGATCTTCATGCAGCATGATCTTTACTTAATATTTTTGCCAATAATTTAGACCTATAGAATGTAGTTTTGGTTAATGGCAAAAATATACCTATGCAACATAAACCTGGTTTTGTGGTCAGAGGTCAGATTTAACAAAAATCAGAATTGTAGCTATAAGGTGCATACAGTTCATATAGCTTATACAAAAATATACATTGGGATTAAATTGTATTTCATATATTTTTAAACAAAAAAAAACTATAAAGTTAATTATAAACCCAACAATTATAATAAAATTATAAAAAAAAAAAATTTAAATTTTACAAAAATACAAAAATAATTGTAGTTTAGGAAAATGAAAGTCCATTAAAGAAAATATTTACAATTGTAATACTTTTTTTGACACTTTTATACAAAGCGACTTACATTTAATTGAAATTACTGGCTTTACCCCTTCTGGAAATCTATTGGAACTGAACCCTCATCCTTGGCATTGCTAATGCCTTCCTCTACTATTTGATTTACAAGAAGGCCAATTGTTTTTTTTTTAGTAAGACATGTAAGATTAGCAAGAATTGACAGATCAGACTGTGAAAGTTAGACATCTCAATGAGGAACTTTGCTACATCCCATTTGTAAATTTCCACCATCCTGTTTATGTGCCTTATCTTCTTTACACTTTTATTTTTTTTATTTGATCTAGTGCCACAAGTTTACTTACCTCATTAGCATCTACCTGTTTGTCAGTATCAGCTCGCTTTACCTATTTGTTATTCAAATAGAGCAGTTTAGGCTAAATTCATAATGAAATATGAATAATGCCATGCAAGTGGCATGGTGGCTCAGTGGGTAGCACTATCACCTCACAGCTAAAAGGTTGCTGGTTTGAGTCCTGACTGGGCCAGTTGGCATTTCCGTGTTCATGTGGGTTTCCTCCAGATGCTCTGGTATCCCCCAGGGCTCAAAGACATACGTTATAAGTGAATTATAAAAACAAAATTTGACATAGTGTATGAGTGTGTGTGTGAATGTGAGAGTATATGGGTGTTTCCCAGTAATGGGTTGTGGCTGTAAGGGCGTCCGCTGTGTAAAACATATTCTGTAATAGTTGGTGGGTTATTCCGCTATGGCAACCCCTGATAAATAAGAGATTAAGTCAAGAGACTTAATGAATGAATGAATAATGCCCTGCACAAGATTTGCGTTCAGATATTGTATCCCATTTGTTTAGTTGCAGGTAAAAATAAATAGATTGTTACATTTGTCTTCCTATGCATGTGAATGAGAGTAAACAATGCAATTTATGCAAACATAAAAAATGCAGAAAGGGTCTTTTTCAAAATGCCCCATTTATGTTCCCTGAGTTAAAGGATTAGTTCACCCAAAAATTTAAAGTCTACTCATTTACTCATCCTTTACTTGTTCCAAATTAGTTTGAATTTCTTTTGTTGAGCAGAAAAGATTTTTATTTTTTTACTATAGAGGTCAATTGCTACTGGCTTTCATCATTCTGCAAAATATCTTCTTAGCAGAAGAATGAACAGAAAGTAAAGTAAAGTGAAAATTGAGGCGGAGTAAATGATCACAGAATTTTAGATTTTGGGCAAATTATCCCTTTAATTAAACTGCAAACAAAGTGTCCACTCGTTTCATAATTTCCTTAGACACTAATGTTATTGGTATTTACACCAAAGAGGCATAAAGATAGCTAACAGTAGAATCAATTTACTCAAACTATAATCAAATAGTGAATGATCAAATGTCTGTACGATTTATAATCATATGCGTCATTATCAGTAGATTTGCTATTAAAAACATAACCATTGACTAAACCGTTTGAATGTTTTTCACATACCACCGTGCCAAACCAAATTTTTTTTCTTTGGTTACTGAATGCTACTACATTCCTTTAATAGCAGGGTTAATAGATAATTACATTGGGCATCCATGAATGCACTGACAAAAAAAACATTTGATTAACTTAAATTACCTCCTGTTACTGAAAACTTTTATAAATTAAGTTTGTAAAAAACTTAATTACATTAAGTTTAACAGATGAAAATTATAGCGGTCACACTTTACAACAAGGTTTCATTAGTTCATGTCATTCCTAACATCAACTAATAATGAACAATACTTGTACAGCATTTATTAATCATATTGAACATTTACTAATGCATTATTAAAATCCAATGATTTTGCACTATGAGTTAACAATGAACAACTTTATTGTCATTAACTAACATGAACAAATACTGTAATAAATGATTTTTTCATTGTTTGTTCATGTCAGTAAATGCATCAACTATGCATTAACTAACACAATCTTATTGTAAAGTGTTAAGCCTGGTTTATACTTCTGCTTCAAGTGACCGGCGTAACCCACGGCGCATGCAACGCCCGTAGCTGTGCATTTATACTTCTGCGCGCTGTCTCTGTTGGTGTGCATTAACACTTCCGAAACGCTAGTTGGCAGTGAGGTGTAAATGTAACCGTAGCATACGCCGGTGTTTGACTCAGAAGTATAAATCAGCCTTTACTATTATACAGTAAATTATACATATTATACAGTATTTTGGTTGATTAAGTGTGGGTTTTATTTATACATTGAAAACACAATCCCTTCATGTGAAAGTGTCATTCATTCTTATTTGACAATATAGGCTTTTGCAATGACTGCTTTATTGTTCTTTATTACATTGTCACTCACTAAGCAGGTCTATTACCACTCAGACTGATTCCCCATTAGTGCATGTAGTGACCGGTCATAAAGCCCCATTGGTTTTGCTCAGCTGTCCTGCGTATAGTTCCACCTGCAGCAGCTTTATTCTGTTGCTTTCATAAATACCAGCAAACATTTACAGAAATAATTTTTAATTCTGTTATATAATCAGGCAACACGGTTGCTCAGTGGTTAGCAATGTCGCCTCACAACAAGATGGTTGCTGGTTCAAGTCTCGGCTGGGTCAGTTGGCATTTCTGTGTGGAGTTTGCACGTTCTTCCCCTGTTCGCGTGGGTTTCCCTCGGGTGCTCCGCTTTCCCCCACAGTCCTAAGACGTGCTAAAGGTGAATTGAATAAACTAAGTTGGCCATTGTGTATAAGTTAATGGGTGTATGTGGATGTTTCCCAGTCCTGGGTTGCAGCTGGAAGGGCATCCAAGTTGGCGGGTCATTCCGCTGTGGCGACCCCTGATGAGCTACTGGACATGCCAATTACTTCTCATTTGAGTATTAGTAGACTGTCTGCTTTATATCTGTTGATACTGCTCCTTCAACAGAGATTTAATGGACTATAAGAAACTTTCCAAGTACATGTCAACTTACACTAACAGTCTACTAATAATCTAATGAGAATTATTTGGCATGTAGATGCAATGTAACTTAAATTCAATAAAATATATTAAAGGGACCATCAAAATAAAGTGAAACCTGCAATGAAATATTACAAACATTTGGTTTTTTGACAGTTTTCTGTAACACTTCTGCAACAATCTGTAACACTTTAAGACGTACTTGTTACAGTGCATATATTCACTTAACTACTGAGTAATATGAATTAGTTACATGCACATACTTTATTAGGGTTAAAATGCAAGTTAGATTTAGAGTTAATGTAATTCTGCATAATCAATTTTAATTACCAAAGTAAGCACATTTATTTTCTTTATTTATTTTTACTTATTTAACCAAGAAGGTCCTACTGAGATAAGATATCTCTTCTACCAGGGAAATCCTGGTTAAGACAGGCAGCATAAGACAAAGTTGTAGAGAAGTACATATCACAACACATAAAAACACACACAAAACATACTTAAAATAATATAAATCTTGATCAGTCATTAAAACATGTGTGCTGTTCTAAATAGACAGACTTTATAGCATTAGATGCTACAGATTTCATATATAGTATATCTTGAAGCTCATTCCTTAACCAAATTTTCAAGGTGTCTCTTAAACATGAAACATGAGAATAAACATATTCTTATATAAATTAATGTTTATATTTTGGGCCCTTGCCATGAAAATTGACATTTACCATCTTCTATTAGCCTTTTTTTTGAGTTAACAACAATGAATGAACACTAGACCTTATCTAAATGCAGCATTTGTTCATAACAGTCCTGTAACTGAATTAACAGCAAGAGGGCAGCACACACCAGCTAAGACCAACCTTCCAGAAGATGTCTGCTGCTAATTCAGCATCCACATTCACTGTTCTGCGAAATCCACATCTATACATCCCATTTAAAATATACCGCACAATAAGTGAAGGGCATAAGTCCTGAAACAGCTTAGCTAGGAGTGAGGATTACATGGTGATGTGACTGTATGTGTACGTATGTGCATGTACAGTATGTATGTACAGTATGTGTGATGTGTGTTCTGGTCCTGTAGCGGAGGGGAGTGTGTGAAGGTGACATGTACAGTACAGTACATCTGCACCGGTGCTGCAGACGCAGGACAGCAGTGCTGAGATGGACAGGGAAGCCTGTGTCTGCACTCCCTCACCGAACACTGCACTCCACAGCACAACCGCTTCCCTTAAACTAACAATACGCACTGGATATTGATTCTGTGCTGAATCGACACCGTTTTAGGGCTGCTTGTTCACTGCATTACAGCTGTTGGTGCTTAGATTCACCACACCTGATTTATGGCCTTGTCATAAATATGTTATTATCGTGTTGCCACAATTGTAGTTGTTAAAGATTTAATTAAATCAAAATGCTGTTATTAATTTTTAACCCTCGTGTCGTTTCAATCCTATGAGACCTTCTTTCATGATTGGAGCTCAAATTAAGATATTTTAGATCAAACCCTAGAGCTTTCTCATCCTCCATAAACAGTAAAGGTCCTGAGATGTTCAAAGTCCAAAAACGGAACCAAAAACATTTAACAAGGGCTCATTGGATATAGACCCAGGTTTACATTTCTGGGAAACCACAAATATGTACCCGGGCTATGTCTGGCTGCATTTTATGTGTAAAACGAATGCTATGTGGCAGTATGATGCCACAGACAACTTCTGTTTATTTTTGCACTACCGCTGACTGCTTGCCTCCATATGGACGGCTTACCAGTGTGCTCAGTAGCTCATCACGTATGACATTGGACTTGGGATGTGTAACGGAGTGGACTGCAACAGGGTTCCAGTTTGGTGAAGAATGGTTTTAGAAACAAGGTAAAACAAAGTAAAAAAAATAGCAGACTGAAAATGTGATAAAATCACACTTTGTAAAATCACACCACTGCGACAGTTTTTTTTTTTCTTTAGATTGCTTTTGAAAACACTATCAGTTGGGTATACCCCCGATTTACACAGTGCTTAAGCGTCAACGTTTGACAGAGGGCTATCTAAAGTTTGGGCTGACACGATCGTCATAGCAGCTTCAGCCAATTAAATTAGTCCACGATCGGCTACTGTCTGAGCTGGTTTATTTGCATAAAACGATCTAATTGGCTGACGCCAAAGAGCGCTTGAAAAGCTGAGAAATTCCCAACTTCTGCAGCGAGTAACACCACTGAAATGGCACTGATGGAGCCACAATGCAGTTAGGCAAAGCCTTACATCACCCATTCAAAGTCAATGGGAAGCATTGAAGCTGACGCCCTGTGTGAATGGGGCGTTAGGGAAGAGGGTGTCTAGGTCAGCCACTCGACATCAAGCTGATTGACTAAATTGTATATTGCGGTCTATTATTGGGGATTTACACGAGAAGAGGATGCAAAAATGACACATTTCAGAAAAACTTTAGATCATCATCGCACTGCGACCTGGATTTGCGAAAACAAGTTCTGGGTACATATTTTGTGGTTTACAGAAATGTAGACCTGGGTATGTATCCACAATAAATCTGGGTTGCAAACATTTCATGTGACTTCAGTGGTTCAACTGTAATCATGCAAAGCTCCAAGAAGACTTTTGTATACCAAAACAATTGAACAAAATATGCTAAATGAATTTGTTTGCATATGTCTTTTATGTTTCCCAGTCCTAGAGGGTGGCAGGAAGGGCATTCATTGCATAAAACATATGCCGAATAGTTGGCGGTTAATTTTTGAAGTTAAAGGAAAATAAATGAACGTCTTCCACATTAGATTGGGCCATGTGTTCACTGCAATGCAACACTGCTGATTCTAATGGCCATATTATTTATTTATTTATTTTTTGTACATTTTGAAGCCCTTCCCCTGAACACTTGGTTTTAAGGGCTAAGGGGAAGAGGTAGGGGTACAAAAATAGAATTGGGATTGGGCCTTTATGTATGTAATGATATATTCACTTAGCAACTAACTACAATAATGTTAAATTAGGCATTAATACATGCATGTGGATTTTGAATATTGGTAAAATTTTGCATTACAATTATAAATGGGGTTTCCCAGTGATGGGTTGCAGCTGAAAGGGTACACCCTGCATAAAACATGTGCTGGATAAGTTGGCGGTTCATTCCACTGTGGCGACCCGATTAATAAAGGGACTAAGCTGAAAAGAAGATGAATGAATTATGAATGGGTTATATATAGAAATGTCACATCAGTTGAGCCCATAGGATGTGAGATTTCTATGAATAACCCAGTTAAAATGGAAAGATTTTAGTAATGTTTAGAAACGTTTGTTTTGGATTTTGTCTTTCCATTTTAATTTGTTTCATTATTTTGTTGTTATTTGGATTTTTAGTTAGTTTTTCCATTTTTTTTTTAAATATGTGGTGTTAAATAATGTACTACATCAAGTTAAGCTCTATTAAATAAATAGAGATCATTTTATTGGTACTAAAATACCCTTTAAATTACCTTCACAGTCTGTAGCTGCCATTCTTATTCTTTCTTCCCCTTGTAACCAATTACACATTTCACCTTTAAATGAACTACTAGGCAGTGCAATTATCAATGTGTTATGGCCTCTTCATCTCCTCTAGTCTATTATGTGATGTTAAAGAGCATTAAGCAGCGTGTTTGACCTCTGGCCTGTGCCCTCTTCAGGGTCAGCAGCAGAATGAAGGGTGGAGGTGGAGGGAAAGAGCCTCCGGGGGAGGGCGAGGTCAGCGGGAAGAGGCCCAAACGCAAGTGTCTGCAGTGGCACCCGCTGCTTGCCAAGAAAGCTCCAGACTTCTCTGAGGAAGAGGAGGAGGAAGACGAAGAGGAGCTGGAGAAGGTGACTGTCAAATCAGAGTTATTGCAAGTTCTTTGCTATAACTCTAAAATTAGAATTGTTTTAATTACGAGAGTGTTTAAGGAATAAAAAGCCTATAAAGATTACTTTACTTTCTTTATTGTCCACAAGTGGAAATTTATCTTTGGATTCATATCACAGAAAAACAGGCAACACAAATACATTCAATGTCATCACATAAATCACATTAAAAACTCAATTACAACCTGTACATGCTTAAAACCCAGTATTTAAACTTCTACTGGCATTCAGCACAAGGGACATTTGATACACATTTTTCTTCACTTGAGGTTGACTAAAACATCTTTTTGATGGCAAAAGCTGAAATTTTATATTTAGGGGATGGGAATATTCTTCAGTAATGACATGTGCTTTCTGTTTAATTCTCATTGAATACATTTCATTTGGTTGTCTTTGTGCTAAACCCACAATTGCACTGGCAATTTTTACTACTCGACTCTTTGCTTTTTCCTAATTGGCAATAGTCTATGCAATCATGTGAAATTTCACAACACTTTTAACCAAATTGTTCTTGTATACCATCTCCAGAATATATTTACATTAATACATAATTAATCGGGAATTAAGCTTTTTGAAAAGTTAGATGTTTCAATATCATTAAAAAGTTTGGGGTCTGAATGGTTTTTCAGTGTTTTTAGTCACAGAGGAGGCATTCAAAATACTGTAAGAACAGAAGTACACTCAAAGAAGTGATGTTTGGTGTTTGTTACTTATTTAAAATGATCTGAAACAACACAATTCAGTGTGAATTCATCTTTTTACATTAAAATTATTGCAAAAATGGCTACTAACATTTTATTTTCAACTCTTGGAATTACAAATATGTACATCTATCAGAGGTGTGATCCTACACGGTTCAGTTTGGTTGGGTTCGGTTACGATTATCATGTTTTCAATATGGTTCAATTCGATATCACAGTTCACTGACAATGCTTTCCATCCACAATTATATATTTTTCTTTACAACCCAAGAATTTGTGTATTAAAATTTAGAAATATATTTATATGCTAAATATATTAGGTAGAATTATAGAGTATAAGTTTATACATGGCCATATATGAACACCTAAAAAAATATATATATATAAAAAAAATATATATATATATATAGATAGATAGATGGATGGATGGATGGATGGATGGATGGATGGATGGATGGATGGATGGATAGATTGATTGATTTGATTGATAGGTAAATGTAAGTGGCCAATTTTGCAATATATTAAAATATATATTTTAATATGACATATTTTATATATGTAAAATTCAAATATTAACTGTCATTTATGTAACTTGCACATATTTCTAGATTTCTACAAGGGAAACAGCCATTGACTAATTCTGGCAAATTGTATATTCTGTATTATTAATGTGCATAGTCTTTGTCAAATACACCTGAACATTTTTATTTTGATCTAAAGTGGGCTTATTCCACTGACTATATCTCCATATTTCTCTGTCCACCTTTTCTGCACTCGTCTTCCCCTCAGGAGCCGGTGTTATGTGCGGAGAGCAGTGTTCAGGAGGGAGAGTGTGGCGGGATGGAGGATGACAGTGAAGAATACTCCTCTGAACAGCGGGCTCGGCGGCCCATGAACGCCTTTCTGCTATTCTGCAAACGCCATCGCTCGCTGGTCCGTCAGGAGCATCCACGATTAGACAACCGAGGAGCCACTAAAATCCTGGCCGACTGGTGGGCCGTATTGGACCCCAAAGAAAAGCAGAAATACACAGACATGGCCAAGGAGGTAAGAACTAACCAACACACACGACTCAATTGAATGATTAGCTAACATAAAGCCAAACTAAAAATTGTTCTGACGCCATTTTCACATTATTACAGTTCTTTTGCTGGAGATTACAAAATGGTAATAAAATATGACGAGCTCATTTTCTTTGCAGTAAACTGTCAGAACAATTGATAATGTAAGATAACTTTGATTGAAAGGTACAGTATGTAATAGGGGTTAAACGACTTTACGATTTTTAAAGTCGACTTTTATTTTATTAAAGTCTAGTCAACGTTGACTAGTCAAAGAAAAGTTGCCTATAGCTGGAACAAACAGAAACTTGACAGCTCTGCTGCTTAAGAAATATGACTGAAAACTGAGGCTGCGTCCGAAACCGCATACTTCCATACTATATAGTACGCTAAAATCAGTATGTGAGCCAAGTAGTATGTCCAAATTCATAGACTTCGAAAATCAGTATGCGAGAAGTATCCAGATGACTTACTACTCCCAGCGAGATTCTGGAGTGCGCATCCCATGCACGCTGCGCTATCCCATAATGCCCCGCGAGAGAATTCATGAATGGAAGTGAGGTGACGCAACCGTCGCAGGTAGGTCACGTAACCATGACAAAATGGCGGATGTAGTACGTCCGAATTCCATACATACTTTTCACATTCATACTGTATAGAATGTACTTTTCTAACGCCCGAGTAGTACGTTTAAGTTCAAATGCAGTACCTACTGAGTAGTAGGCGGATTCGGACGCAGCCTCTGTGTGCAAACTTTGATCTACTTATCTAATTAATGAACAGCGCAACACAGCAGATTATAACAAAAATTAATGTTGGTTAGTTTTTGTGTTTTTGACTACATTTTAGTCTTGTCTCGTTGACGTAGTCACTGTGATATTCATGACGTTACACCTTCGTCTCATCTTAGTCTTGGAAAAAAAGGTCATCAACAAACATTTTTCATTCTTATTTTCCTTGACAAAATGAACACTGCACTGTATGAAGAATGTTTGGTTAATATGTCATGGTTTACTTTAATCTGCTATCCTCACTTACATACATGAGGTATCCCCAAAATTATGTCTGGTGTCTGAATAATTTTTGGTTTGACTGTAGCTGAATAAATACCTTAGCTTGAAAAGCTGCTAGTTTTAAGATTATTAAAAAAAAATAATTGTAAATGCAAATAATTCAATCAATTGTCAGGAACACTGTTAGAAGCTATAATCGATAATTTGATATTATTCTCTGTGTTTTACAGTACAAGGATGCGTTCATGAAGGCTAACCCCGGATACAAATGGTGTCCCGCCACCAACAAGCCAGTAAAGAGTCCTTCTCATTCCGTTAGCAATTCCCGCAAGAAGGTCTGGTCTCTTCCCTCCAACCCAAGCAAGGACCCTTCAGTTGCCAAAAAACAGCCCAAAACTGACAGCACACCTCAGCTCAACTTCGCCATGGCTGGTAGGAACAAAACAAGCTCTTAAATATTTCAACAATCCCAAATATTTGTACCGTAATCTGTGTATTATTGTGTACACATTTGAATGTTTTTTTATCTCTTTAAGGGAAAATTCAGACTATGAAAATGTTTTTCAATTCAGAGACGCTACTATTCTGTTGTTTTTGCAATTAAATACACTTGTTGGACATGGGCTTGTGTCTTTTGGCCTCGCACAAGAGCACCACATTTTAAGATGCTGTGTCAAGTTAAAAGAATTTCAACTTTTACACACAGCACCAATCCTCAACTTGAGTTTCAAAACAGTGGACCAGTTAGTAGAACTCAGAGGCAGGGCAAGCATTTTGAGCTACTGTTTGCAATAGCAAGTTAAGCATGACAAGTGTTCTATTTGACAGCAACATGGCGGAGGAGACACTTTTTTTAAATAGTAATAATAATAATTCATTTTATTTGTAAATGGCGCCTTTCTAGACACCCAAGACCACCTTACAACAAGCATAAACAGCCATACCGGAACAACTTAAAACAATTAGTAAAACATTACCAAACAAGCATTTCAAATGCATGTAAGGAACTGCATTCTGTGTGAATAGCCCTTAAGCCTGTATTTAAAAATTAAAACATTTTAAAGATACAGAAAAGCTATAATGCTTTGAAATATTGGGTTTTAAATTATAATGTATTTCTGTAATGGCAAAGTAAAAAAAAAATCTTCTGTAAAAAAAATTCTGTGAAAAAGGCTAGACTTGTTAAGCTTTTTACTAAGGCTGCACAATATTTGAAAAAAAAAAAATCTAACATTGCGATATTTGTTTTAGTTTGCAATATATATTACGATATGAATACAGTTTCACCAGATGACTTAACATCTGGAAAGATTTTAATTATTTGGAAAGAATTTATAATGTCAGATGGATTTAGATAATTCTGCAGTTCCGCAAAAAGTTTTTAAGATTGTTTATTAGATTTTATGGAGAGACACTCCCATAAAGGGCCCTATCATACACCCGGCGCAATGTGGCACAAGGCGCGGCGCAATAGTCTTTTGGTAGTTTCAGCTTGGCGCAGGAGTCGTTTTGAGGCGTTGCGCTACGCTGTTTAAATAGCAAATGCATTAGTGCTCATATGTGCGCCCATAGGCGTTCTGGTCTAAAAAGGAAGGCGTTCTGAGGCATACCGCTGTGGCGTTGCTATTTTGAGAATCTAAAATAGATTTTTCATTAGACCAAAACTAACCCGGTCTAAACTCCGGCGCAGAGTTGCGCCTCGCTTACGCACTGCTTGATACGCACAAGAGAGCATTAGGCAAATATCTTTACATATGAAAAAAATTAAATATTAAGGATATATATAGGATATAAAAAGAATAGATATAGAATATAAATATAAAGGATTCAAATATTACAAAACATTATTTTCTAGCCTACATAAATATGAAAAATCATTGCTTTTATGTCTTCTTCATCTCAGGAGGCTTTTTCAGTTCATTCATAACAATTTGCTTTTGTATAATGTTATTATTATTAGCAGTATTATTTATTATATCCATATTTATATTTTTTTTATTAAAAACAAGCTTAGATTTGGCCACCTGTCAGGTTTTAGACCATATGGGGCACAGCATGTGTTTTAGAATATAACTTGGGTTTTTGAGCACACTTCGTTATTGTTGTTCATTTGTTCGTTTGCTGGAAATTAGAACTGAATTTAGAAATAGTTTTAAAACGAATATTTGCGCTTAACAAACGCAATTAATTATTTATAGACTACTCGATGTCTGTGTGTAAAGGTTTCCCTATCCAAGAGCGAAAGTGAAAGTAGGTCTATTCTCTCTCATTCTCACGCAGTAGATGCTCTGTTTAACAGTTTTCTGTTTAAAAAAAAACTGTTAACTGTTTGCTAGTGAAATGCTCAGTTTTTCCACTTAGGCTTACTTTACGTCAGGTAAATAGCGAATGCGCTCTTGGCGCGACGCAGCTGGCTCTTAAAGGGAATGGGAGATGAGACTTTAATTGGTTTATTCTCAAAACACACCTATAACTCATTAAGAAAATAAACTCAACCCTTTTAGACTATGCGCAACGGCGCAAAGCGGATTTTCCCATTCTTAAATGAGCAAAAATGCGTTCTGACACGCCCTGAAAGTGTTTGCGCCCTGTGTTATCGCTCTGCGCATGTACCGTCAAAATAGAGCCCAATATCTAATAAGCAATCTATAAACTTTTTGCGGTCCCCTGACACATTTTCGTTGTTGTCTGTGCTATTTGCAGTGCATTTCTGTATTTGCATGTGTTGTGAGTATTTTCATGCATGCGTTTAGTCAGAGATTGATGAATTAATGTTTACTATTTGTATCTTTGTAAAATCCTTTTTTTTTCTCTTATGTGATTATAGATCCCAATAAGATGGGTGGCCTAAGCATGCTGCTGTTAGCTGGGGAACACGCACTGACCGCCAGAGAGGTACAGCAACTTCAATTTAATGCATATAAAAATGTATGTGAAAAGACATTCTTTTTGAATGCAAACTTATAGGCCGTGTGCAGGGGTCCCACTGGTCCTTGGAATCCTTAAAAACTTGTGAATCTAAAAAAAAAAAAATTATTCAACATCCTTAAAAGTTTTTGAAAATAACCATGCATGAATAGAGGTCCTTTAAAGTGCTTGAATTTGTTTTGAGCAGGATGTGTTCTGGAAAAACAAAAAATCCATGTTGTTCCCTCTGGTCTGCTTATGTGTTGTGATTTTGCCTACTTTGTCACTATGCATACTAGTTTGCTAGATTTGCATTGGTTAGGGTTACATGAAATGTTTCACACATACTTTCATACTGACATACATTGCACGATGTCGCCCACAAACAATACTACTTATAATCTAAATTTTAGTATTAAACTAAATAGTTTATTTACTGTACTGGTGTATTGCTTTGCTTTTTAAGATAATGTAAACCCATGAGGGAATAAAAAATTTAAAGCCTGTTCATATAATAGATGTTGGGGCTGCATGGTGGCAAAGTGGGTAGCACGTTCACCTCACAGCAAGAAGGTTGCTGGTTCGAGCCTCAGGTGGGTCAGTTGGCATTTCTGTGTGGAGTTTGCTTGTTTTCCCTGTGCTTGCGTGGGTTTCCTCCGGGTGCTCCGGTTTCCCCCACAAGTCCTAAGACATGTTGTACTGGTGAATTGGGTAGGCTAAATTGTCTGTTGTGTATGTGTGAATGGGAGCGTATGGATGTTTTCCAGTGATAGGTTGCAGCTGGAAGGGCATCCGCTGCGTAAAAAATTTGCTGAATAAGTTGGTGGTTCATTCCACTGTGGCGACCCCAGATTAATAATGAGACTAAGCCAAAAAGAAAATGAATAAATAAATATATATATATTACATTTTATGCAAAGTAGATATAAGATGGCAAATAGGATATCAGAACTGTTTCATATGGCCAAACTTCTTTACATTGAAGAAGATGTAAAGCTTCTTTGTTTTGTGTTTGACACGTGTAACGTGCAACAATGTATTGAACAAGGCAACACAATGTAACTTTGCTCTCATTTGAAATGTCCCACATTAAATCCTTGAATTTGTGAGCACTGGACCTGCAAAGTCCTTAAAAGGTCCTTGAATCTGAAGTGTGGGGACCCTGTGTGTGACATATTGACAGATTTTGATGACTATTAGGATTAATTAAGTTTTAAACTTAAAAAAAACTAAACTAAAATAGTCAATTATGAATAACACAGAATTGATAATACATAAAAGACTGTTAGTATTAGAAAGTCTGTATTAGTTGAAATTGTTTGCATGTTGCATGATTTTGGATATTTTTGTGCCCATACTTGTTTCTCATGTGTTATATTATGTTCAAATCTCATAAGAAGATTAAAATCGGTGGAGCAGTGTGTAGCACGTTCGCCTCACAGCAAGAAGGTTACTGGTTCGAGCCTCGGCTGGGTCAGTTGGCGTTTCTGTGTAGAGTTTGCATGTTCTCCCCGTGTTTGCGTGGGTTTCCTCTGGGTGCTCCAGTTTCCCCCACAGTCCAAAGACATGCGGTATAGGTGAATTGGGTTGGCTAAATTGTCCTCAGTGTATGTGTGTGAATGAGTGTGGATGGATGTTTCCCAGTGATGGGTTGCGGCAGGAAGGGCATCCCCTGCGTAAAACATGTGCTGGATATGTTGGCGGTTCATTCCGCTATGGCGACCCCAGATTAATAAAGGGAATAAACGGATAAGAAAATAAATGAATGAATGAAGATTAAAATCAATGTTAAAATGAATACTTATCAAATCTCAGAATATGCATTTTTAAATTAGCAAAAATAGAAGAATCATATGAAACTATTTATTGTATAAGTTTCAGTATTTTTAAATCCGTCCATTCATAATTAATTGTAATATTCCTGCAGCTACAATGAAAGTCAGAACAGCATCTTAAAAATTGCAAATACGCCACAAAAATAACATTTCAAATGAATTACATTGTAATTGTAGATTTTTGTGGCAGGAACACAGCCATCGCTCCAGTCAAATGGCTTTTTAAAGCCAGGAACACACAGAGAGAGCTCCAGATGAGAATAACAGTTATTAGTCTAGATCCATGTCCTCATATCTGGATGTGATTGAGACAAATCTGCATCATTCTGTACTCACGGCAGACCTCTGATATAATGAGCACATGATCAGTGCTCACGTAAATAGACTGTGACAGGCCCATCTCCACAGATACAGCAGCGGCCTGTGACTAAACAGACTCAAACTACTGTTTTTGGGCCCCAAACTGGGTTTGCGTGCCATTAGGAGGGGCACATACTTCATAAATCGAGGAGCTTTCGAGGTGTTTTGTGTGCCAGTGTGTGTGTGATTGAGGGATCTGAGCTGTTTGTGTGTGTTCTTGCGGGTTCCTCAGACTCTCACCCCTGTTAATCCTCTGTAAATTCCATTTTCCTGCCACTAAGTGATCCTAATTGCCTTCGGCGCTGTGCATTTGTCACTGAAGAGGGCCACGGGAGGTTTATACAAAACAAAAGGCAGCGCCTCCATGTTTTGCGGACAAATCGCATTACATCATCTGTTTAGAGGAGCTTTACCTGTTGGCTGTATGGGATGTTTAACCAGGAGTTATCTTCGGAATCTCTCTGTTGTTGAATGCTATCTCACACACAGGTTGATGACTGGCGTTGGTGCACAAAGAAAATTTGCTGTTTATTTACTTTTAAAACCTTTAGTTAAAGTTTAAGTTATTTTAAAAAACCTTCCAAACTTTTTTTGAGACAACGTTGGACTATTGTTTAGGATAGACACATATAATTGATAAAGTTACCTCAAAGACATTACAACGTTACAATATATATTGAAAATAGGGTTGCTCATAATAACCGATTGAACGTTAACCGAAAGGGTGTGTTTTTAACCATTTAATAGTATCAGTAAATGATTAAAAATATTATTATATATACTTTTAAATGTTTGGCTGCATAAGGGGGCGATCACAACGAACACGCTTTTTGCGTTGAGAGGGGCATCTTTTGATTAGTTTACTAATGGCCGCAAGTGTTTTGCGGTGCCCTGCGTGGCGAGCGTTTTTGTCGTTGTGCACTGTGTGCTCGCAGTTGAAAAATATAAACTAAGCGGAAAAAGCGTGTTGCGTCAGTCGTGTCTTTTCATTCTTTAATCAAATGAAAGCAGAGGTGGGGTTGCTGTTTTTTTTTTGTCAGAAGAAAAAAAAAAAAACATGATAGGACAAACATCATATGCCGGTTCTTAGAAAGAATTCAGTCAGTATTTTCGGTTTGTAGTCTAAACTTGTCATTAACGTGAAACATATTTAGGGCAGGACCATTTCTTTTATTCTTTTTATTTAGTTTATTCTGTTTTTCTATGCTGTTGGAATCGCTGTAGGTGCTTGAAGATGTGCTGTTGTTCTGATGTTCTGTATGCTGTTGTTCACATCTTAAAATAAATCAGTACTTTAAAATGCAATGTTTAATGTATCAGACACAAAATAGACACGTAAATTATTTATTTTATTAAATTAATATTCGGTTTACGAGCAGGGGTTGCCGGTTGGCAAAATTAAACGAAACGAACATCCCTATTTGAAAAGATTTAATAAGAAATATTCATGCATTTTTCTTCGGCTTTAGTCCCTTTATTCATCTGGGGTCGCCACAGCGGAATGAACCGCCAACTTATCCAGCATATGTTTTACACAGCAGATGCCCTTCAAGCTGCAACCCAGTACTGGGAAAAATAAGAATTATAATTAAATTATTCAGAATTGTGGAATCATTTATGGTTAAAAAGAAAATATTGTTGTTGTTGTTTTTTGGAGTAAAGCAGAAAATAAAGCTTAGAAATTACATTAAGAAATCAATTAAATTGTATTAAAATAATATGTATTATTATGGATTTTAATTGCATATTAGAAATATACTACAGTTATATTGTTTTCAATCAAAATAATATATTGCATTATTTATTTTTTGATGCATTTCAGTTGCATAAAAGAAAAAAATCTAAACTTTAAATAATCGGTGTGCAGCTACTTTTTAAAAATGACAAAAGTAAAGAAGGGAAAGATCAGTAAATTCTATTGTTTTATTTTATTATATAATTTTATTATTAAAATACGGTTTAAATCATTTAAAAATCTAATTCAGTTTGTCAATCTTCGTAAACACCATATTGCCTTTCGGTTCCTCTAATCTGATTTGATGTTTAAAGGCATGCTTTTTTTCTGTAATATGGTAACAACCAGTACAGCGAAGAAACGGCAACATGGCGGCAACATCCAATTATAAGGCTAAAAGAAAATGTCTGTTTCTAAAGTCTTGGAAGCAGACATTGTGGGAACAACACGACAAAAAAATGAAGTGATGTTTTGCACAATGTGCCGTCCGTTTGACAAGTCAGCCACCTTTTGTTAAATAATTTCGAACTGCTATAAAATACCTCCACATTTTCCATACTGCTCTTTTTGTTTGCATAAAACTTTGAATTTCGCTCATTATACGTTTATCCACATTTTTTAAGTATTCAAATTCTAGATTCACAGACGTTATTTTTGACACATTATTTAAAATATGTGGCTAAAAATAGCTATTAACTTCTCTTCCCTTTTTTTTATTTTTATTTTATTTGGTGGGGCCAGTAGAAATTTTGGCAGGTCATGTAAAAATCTGAATCACTGGCCTGATCGAACAAGAAGAAAAACCATGAGAACCCTGTATGCCCAAAAATCTTATAAGACATATTTAGAAAAAATATTTAATGATATAATAAAAATATATAAGCATTACGGTTCAGCTCTAAAGACCAATTAATTTTTCAGTAATTTATTTTATTTATTTTTAAATTTTATTAATAATTATATAAGTATTTTTAATATACTACAAACCACTAAATGATTTCAGTAATTATAATAGAACATTTAGTTTGATCACTTGTTCTTGTATATATTTTAAAGTCAAAAAAAGGTTGTTTAAATTTTACTTAAAGATGAATTGTACACTCAATTACGACAGACCATTATCAGTAAAAGTAAAATATCAAAATGTGTACTAGACACTATAATATATATAATATTATATATATTTTTAATCTGAATATTATTAAAGCTATAATTATGTTTATTTGAAATACTACTAAAATAGCCTAAGTCAGTGGATTTCATTAAACAAAATGTTGACATAATCATTTGTATGTTTTTCCATTGCTGATGCTTAGTTTTCAAGCACAGCTCATCTCCAGTCACGTTATCTGTCACTTCCTGTTTAGACAGCGTAATTGATGGCTATATATATTTTTTATTTTATTGACTCTACCTGTGGCTTTTCCATCAAACTGTCAACAGAGGGAGGTGTTGAGTTGTAAATGCCAGCGGTCGCTTCAAGGCGAATGTTGATTTAAGATTGTTTGTTTATGGCTTGTTCTACTCCACTGATTTCATTTCTTTATTTTTTGAATGCTTTCAGATTTCCTCCAGCTCTTCCCAGACTGGATGCACAGATGTTGCTAAGCACACTGGGAAATCAGCCCTTTTCCAGCTGGCTGAGGTGAGATTACCTAAAAAACTTGTCTGTCAGACCCATAAAACCCTACTTAGCGCTGAGACGTCTCAGATACGGATGGTTGCCTGTGAACGTGTAAATGATTTGCTTAATGATCTGAACGTGTTTTGTTGGACTTCTTCTCAGATTTCTTCCAGTCCAGCACAGTCAGCTGGAGGAAGTAAGAATGCAGAGGACACAAGCTCACTTACACATGTAGAGGTGAGGGACAGTCAAAGCTTTTATAGTGAGTTCTTTAAATTACATCTGAACACTGATTATGTTTACTTTTATGACCTCCTTAGGCTTCTGGACCGTCTCAGCCAAGCTCACCAGACCTGCCCAAGAGTTGTGTTAAATCACCCCTGTTTCAGCTGGCTGAGGTACAGTACTAAACTAATTTAACATGAGTTTTTGTGATCCAATCCAAAGGGTCAGCTGTAGTTAAGGTTTAAGGTTATGACGGTATAATAACAATATCACGGTTTCATGATATTGTGATCACTGCTTTAAAATATGTTCCTTTTAAAGGTCTGGGTAAAAAGCAACCATAGATATTTACATTAAACATCGCCTACGCTATTGTTGTCTATTGGAAGGAATGCATCAATAGAGCCACCATTTTAATATAGGGTAGCGCTCCTTTAAAAGGAATGTGGGATCAAGGTGCAGTGGAGGGCTGGCCATCAGGAGCCATAGAGATACACACGCACATATATACATATATCTATGTTCAGGAGTTTTCCCGGTAGTCAGGATGCAAATATTTTTTTTAAATTACAAAAATTATGATTTTACATCATATTTCTACATCGATAGATCAGTGACTGCACGGGCATTGATGACAAAGTGTGTGTTTGTGTGCATGGAAATGTATTATCCACCCTCCCTGTTAAATTTGATCTAAACCTTGTCCTGAAACACATCCTCTCTCCAGCTTTCACTTTTAATTCTGAGGGAATAATTCACTCGTAAATAAATCCCCGTTATGAACGATTTGTTCACTTAACGTTAGCCAAGTTTCTGGCACCGCAGTATCTTTTTATCGTATTAAATGTACATTGTTTGCCTATTTTATTCAACAAAACTAGCATAAGCCTGGTATTTAGTGCGATATGGTGCTATACAGTGCTAAAGTCTAATATCTCCAGATTGGCTTTAGTCTTGACTAGTGCGGTTGAATGACATTTGTTCTGGGAGCACTGTATAAATGTGGCGGCGCTATTGACGCATACTCAGGGTCCGTATGCGATATCTAGTGTATATATCTATGAAAAGCAACAACAAAACACTACATATTTTAATTTAAGAAACATTTAAGATATTTCCCAGTACTGGGTTGCGGCTGGAAGTGCATCCGCTGTGTAAAACATGCACCGGAATAGTTGGCGGTTTATTCCGCTGCGGCAACCTCTAAATAAATAAGGGACTATGCTGTAAGAAAATAATAAAATGAACATTTAAAACATTTACAGTAAACATGTCAGGCTAAATAATTCATGCAAATCCTTGACTTCTGCTGTCTTTGTTAGTTTCAACAACAGATTTCTTGTGTTGAAAAGGCATCTCTGGATACCTTTCTTTTCTTTGGATATAAAGTAAGCAACTGCACTGTTCAGGTCTATAACATTACAAATGTCTGCTCAATCGCTGAATTTAATGATCAATATTTTAATAAAAATATATACTACATACATGAGTATAAAAATATATACAAACAGATGCCATGAAAAAATATATATATTGTATAAAAATAGAACAAAAAATCAGATATGCTGTATATGATAGGAATGTCAGCTTTTAATCTTGTCCAGCAACATCACAGCAATTTTGGTCTGAATAGTGTTGTCTTTTGCACCGTTAAGCCCGACCAGTAGCTTTTAATATGGATGGTCCTTTTCTGCTGGAGATACTGTTGCCCTAAAAAAGGTCTTTGACAACATAAAAAAGTTACATATACCATAGTAACATTATGACAGAAGATGGTAATGGTTTTAAAACCTTGACTTTTCCTAACCGTGGTAAACCTTGAAACCAGTTATCATCCCATGCCTAGGTGTGATCATTACCGTTTCCACCTAGTATCAAAGAAACAATCCAATTTTTAATTCATTCAGCCGATCTCTGGGTCTGGCGGCAGTATTTTTAGCTTAGCATAGTTGATTGAATTGGATTAGATCATTAGCACCTCACTCAAAAATGACCAAAAAGCTTAAAAACTTTTACTATTATAAGTTTGACTCTTCTGTAGTTTATGTCATGTACTAAGAACAATGTAAAATTATGTTATGTTAATTAAAGTTATGCTAGATATGGTGAGGAAGTATACTTTTATTCCTTGATTCCAGGTATCTTTGCTGCTTAAAAATCTTGCAATAACTTATAAACATGATGTTTTTAATTTTTTTTGTTATTTTACAATTTAACTAAAACATTGTCATACAAATTGACAAAGGTTAAAAATGTTCAGCTTAGCAAAACATAAAATAACAAGAATAATATATAAACTCAAAATATTGGAATATCTTTTTAATAAATAAATAATAATATTTTCCCAGTACTGGGTTGCAGTTGGAAGTGCATGTGCTGTGTAAAACATATGCTGGAGTAGTTGGCGGTTCATTTTGCTGTGGCAACTTCTAAAAATGAGAGCCGAAGGAAAATGAAGGAATGAATGAATAATAATAATATGAAATAATACAGCAATAACTTATTTGTCTAATCTATGTATTAGAGCTTAATATCTTAAATACTTTAAACTAGAATGACATACTTATTAGAGCTTATAAATAGGGCAAAGATCACTATGGCTGTATATACTTTGATTTTGTAATGATTTGAAAAAAAAAATTATGTTATGAACTGCAGCATAGATAAAAAAAAAAAAAAAAACGTTGGACTTGCACTTAACAAGAGGATTCAAATCATATTTATAAATCACAATATAGCAACTAACCTTATGTGTTTGTTAAAATAACTTTTAGATTTATAATTACAATTATACATTTAGTATTAGAAAATTAAAATGTTTTGAATTAAATTATATGTTAGTATAATGTTATACAAACTAATCACTAACTTTCAGCTAATATAAAAAACATTCTAGGAACCAAAAAGTTAGGTAAAAAGCAGGGTATTTTAGTAGATTATTGTAAACTTCAATTGCTAAAACCTGAAATGTAAGCTAAAACATTCTGTCTTTTTTTCCCCACAGAACTTTTGTTAACCGTTTGCTAGTTTTCGCTATGTAAGCAAATATTTGTCAGTCAATGACCACAGCAGAAACCTTCAGTGACTTACAGAGTGCCAGTAATACTCGTCACTTCTGCTTTTTCTGGTGTTTTACCTGAGAGAATACTAACTTCCTCCATCCATGCAGCCATTTTGATACTGCTGCGTTTCAAGTTGTTGCTTTTGTTGGTGCCAGATCTTGTCAGTGTCATTAATAAGACAAATCAGCTGGTTTTCTTTGCTTTTTGTTAGCACTTCTCTTCTGAAATGGTGTCACAAAATAATCAAGAAAGAATGTGACGCAAGGAATGTAATTTAAAGCTGAATTTTTATTTTTAAAATCACTATTAATGGTGGCACAGAATGTAACACATGAGGATTGCTGTTTTTAGGCAGTGTTGTTGTTGTTGTTGTTGAATAAAATATTTAATGTAAATACAATATAAAATGCATAGTCTATACATAAAAATGGGCATCACGGTGGCGCAGTGGGTAGCACGTTCGCCTCACAGCAAGAAGGTCGCTAGCTCTGTGTGGAGTTTGCATGCTCTCCCTGTGTTGGCGTGGGTTTCTTCCGGGTGCTCCGGTTTCCGTTTTATTTTTATTTTTTTGAGTTGTTGCATTTCTCATTAACTTAAATAACTTTAAGGATAGTGCTTGCTTGTTCCCAGCAGACACACAACATCATAAGACGTTGATATTAGGTTAGTTTTAGATCATGACGTCAGGTGACCAAAACTCAATGTCTAGCTACCGTCTAAGAATGTTATTTTGACGTCCAGTAATGACGTTGATATTTGGTTGATTTAAGGTTGTGTTGGAAAGTGACCAAACCCCAACGTCTGATAGATGTCATAGTGGTAACATCCACACAATGCCAAGGAGTAACATGATTAGACGCTGATATTTTGTTGATTTTAGGTTGGACATTGACTTTGGGTTCTGACATCAAACCGATTTTCATTTCCAAACAAAATCCACCATCTCTACGACGTTGGGGTACAACGTAAATATGGCGTCATGATGTCCTGAGCCTGCAGGGTTACTAATAAAACTGGACAAAAGCACTGAAATGGCTAAATAACAACTTTGGCTAAATACATATTTAAAAATAGGGCTGCACGATATTGGAAAATATCAATATTTTTAAATCTGCTATATATATTACAATATGAATACAACTCTATTATATTATTTACTATACTAGTTGCATAACTATTTGCAAAAAATTATATATATATATATATATATATATATATATAGAGTCTTCATTTTATACTCAATTTAATAAAATTAATTGTTTAATTTGTCAAAGTTACAAATGGAACAATTTCTTAAGCATGAATGCTTTTAAAATCTATTTGTGACAATGAAATACTACTTGAATAAAGTCAGAGACCATTTTTTAATTGAATATATTGTTTCACGCAGTAGTGAATTAAAATACACTCAAAAAATGTGTGAAACACACAAGTATTGAGTTTTATCTGGGGACAGCTTAATTGTTTTATGTTCAATCTACTTGTAAAAACGAATAAGTTAGTTCATTAAAAAGTTAATTCCTTCATGTTGTCCCAACACAAATCAATTGTGTGGAACCCAGTGTTTTTCACATTGTAGGATCCAAATTGATAGCATTTTATATTATTTTTATTTGGTGTAATTTTATTGTATTTTTATATTGTTTAAAGAAAGTACAAACTACCAATTTGACACATGGTGATAATGTAGCATTTGCTTTGCTATTACTCTGCAATAAATGACTATTGCTTAAAATCAACAGTCCTGCATTAAAGTAAAATGGGTTGTGAACACAATTTTAGATTGATTGGGCCGATTCTGTAGGAGAGTGTATATGCATAAAATATAAGAAACGATCAACAAGCATAGATAAAATCAATAAAGAAAAAGATACAAATTAAATAAACAGCTTATTATCGTTTTCTGAGGAGTTGAACTGTATTCAGGTGTACAGTAATTGAAAAATCAAATGTAAAATAATACTGCATAGTCTCTCGTTTTATCAACAATTCAATAAAATTAATCGTTTTTTAAATTGTCAAAGTTACAAACATTTTCTTAAGCCTGAATGCTTTAAATATCCTCACAGTCAGACGCCTCAAAAACACTTGCGAAATGATCAATTATAATCCAGACTCAACGTTGTGTTTACTCGCGATGTGACTATGGTAAATAATCACATTGGGATATCGATGCTGAAACGATATATTATGCAGCCCTATTAAAAAACTTATTATTGTTATTATAGGGGAAACATCATTATTTTTTATTTCTTTATGATTTAAAATACTGACTCTTTGCTGTTTCAAAAGAAGGAAAGTGTTCCTGCACAGTGCAGTTTGCTTTTTTGAAATATCTTTATTAACTGCAAAAAACCTCCTAGCAACCACATAGCAACACCCTTGCAACCTCCCATAATACCCTATTAGTGTCACATCACGTTTTGCATGTTCAAACATCACTTTGCTAATGCTCTTGTTCTAGTCAGTGGTTATAATGTGTGTGTTTGTGTGTCTCTGTAGCAGATCTCTTCCAGTAGGTCTCCGTCAGCATCTGAAGGGAGACAGTGTGGCCAGTCGGCCCTTTTCCAGCTCGCTGAGGTACATCAACATCCCACACACACACACAGGATAATGAAAGATTACAAGACATGACGATGAATCTTGTGCTGCATGCAGTATTTGATATTATAGTGCAGAATTAAAGATCAGTGAGGCAGTGGCTGGTGTTGACCGGTTGGCATGGACAGTGGCAGGCAATGTTATGTAATGAATGCTAGGATGATTTTGATGCATATGCTGCCACCTGGTGGATGTTTATATATTATTAAGTCACTAAAATTGACTTGATATGTAGTATTTTAGTCTATCATATAGGTGGGGGTGGAAAATACTAATCATTTATCTCTTTTTAAACTTGAATCAGTCTTTAGGTTAAAAAAAAAATCTTTATTATTGTCATTTACTTAAGTTGTATTGACCTTATTCTAAAATGCGGAAGTGCGCCTGTTTTCGCGATTGTTTTAGAACTTCTGATTAAGTCGCCTATGGGAGAAATAACTAGGAATAATAAACGGCAGAAAACGGTCAAACTACTTGCTCTACAAACAAATGTTTGTATGACTATACAGACCAAGTAGATTAATATAATAAGGAAATATCAGTTTGCAACATCAAACAGCAAAACGAGCAGTTTTTAATGTCTAAAAATTAATGGAAGTGAATGAAACCGGAAGTCTCGAGCCAAAAAGAAACAAATGGCTGCACCCGCTCGTCGGCAAAGAATAAGGTGAATAATGCAGGGGTTCCCAAACATTTCACTCTGTGATCCCAAAAATAACAATTCCAGTGACTCGCAACCCCCACTATCCTCCGAGGTAGTTTTAAACATACAAATATAGCACACAACAATGCACACACACCAAAAATTCCATATAAACACAAGCATATTGCCAACACAAAATGCAACAGTCTAACAACAAGATACTTTTTCATAGTCAATTATTCATTTGTTTAATTTAATATTAACCTTACCTGTTGAGACTGTGGGCATAATGTTTACAGCACAAGTCTATTCTTGGTTTTATTTAGGAGACCACCACTTGGAGATCATTATCCATGTTAATTTATGGCCTTTGTTTTTAATGTAGCCTTTGTGCGTGCCGTAAAGGTGGTAAAGTTTAACTAGTGCTGTAAATTAATATAACATATTATATTATATATAATACATGTTAATATAACAATCACAGAAGGGGTCACAATCCAATGGGGGAAAAAATCATTGAAAAAGTGATGGGTTTTTGATTAGCATATTGTTTTTTTATATATATAACTATTAAATATTATTTTTAATCATTGGAAGGTGGATAAAATATGGTTATTCTAATAGTTTAATAAAAATGTCTTTGATTTTTGGAAATCACCAAGCAATCCTCATTGTCCCTCGACCCCCACTTTAGGAACCACTTATATAATGTATAAAAAATGACCAGTTGTATATAATATGCATTTGCTGAATGTACATTGCAATATGTTAATGCAGTTAATACATATTGTTTTAATGATATTTAGATGTTTTTTAAGGAAAACAAGACAGAAATATTGATGAACAGGATTTGTGACAGTAAAATACTACTTGACTAAAGTCGGAGACCTTTTTTAATTAAATATATTGTTTCACTCAGTAGTCAATTAAAAACACTCAAAAATATGTTTGCCATTTGTTCAAATTACTTGTTTAAAATGAGCTGAAACAACACAATTGTTGAGTTTTATTTAGGGACAACATAATTGTCTTTTGTTCAATCTACTCAAATTTGTAAACTAGCTGGTTAACCTAATTACTTCATGTTGTCCCAACACGAATCAGTTGTGTGGAACACAATATTTTTCACAGTGTTTGATCCAAATTAATACCATTTTATTTTATTGTTAATTAGTGTAGTTTTATCGTATTTTATATTATTTAAAGCAAGTACAAACTACCAATTTGACATATGGTGACAATGTAGCCTTTAGTTTGCAGTTACTTCACAATCAATTACTAACATTTCAAATCAACGGTTCAATATTAAAATAAAATGGGTTATGAACACAATTTCATTTTGACATTCATGCAGCTTATATGACATCCAGTAGCCCAGTGGTTCTCAATTTTTCATCAAGTACCACCTCAGAAAAAAAAATTGTCTCTCCAAGTACCACCATAATGACGAGGCAGATTAATTCCTATTATTAAGTATATTTATTATTGTCAGACACTTTAATAATTATAAATAGTTTGAACATTAACACTGTACTGCTTATAGGTATAAAAAAATGTAAATAAAGACTAACAAAATAAAAAGTCAACATTTAAAATGTGCTTTTCAAAGTTAATTAAAAATAGTAGGCTACTATTTTTAAAGTAAAAAGAAAACTGTACTTAAATGCAAAGTGTTAACAAATAGTAACCTATTCATCAAAACCTATAAATGTCACTTGATCCTTGTAAATGTAGTCTATATGTTATCATATTCATAGATAAACCATTTCTGATATATTTTGAAATATGTTGCATGTACTCATGACCCATTCGTATATCTGTGAAATCTAAACATTTTATCTAAACAACTTGTATTTTAAACGATTTGGAGTTACATATTTTAAATTAGAAGTTCGATCTGCTTACTGGCAAAGTTGAAAATCCTTTAACTTTATGCAAATGAAGAGTGACTTTCTTGAGCGACAGCCAATAGAAGCACCATTAGAGCTCACGTGATCCTCTCTCAGCTCCCTCAGAGGCCTGTTGTATTCTCTGTGCTGTAGACATACACAGACCTGCATTTGCAACAGATCGCCACCCTGAGCGACAAAGTTAAAACTACAAAATTATCTCACCCATTTACTTCAGGTTTTGGAGCCTCTTCTAAAGTTTTGATGAGTTTGATTCAGGTGTGTTTAATTAGGGAGAGGTTGAAATTGTGTAATGTTGGTGTGCCTTTGGGAACAGGGTTGGGAAACACTGGCCTATTAGACTAGAATATCAATACCACTGTTTCTTTTCATCACAAAGCTCCATCATAACATGATGTCATTGTCCGTCCATATATAGATGTGTTTGGCCTCTGAGGCTGAAAAGATGGAAGCTCGATCATCTCAGCCGTCTGGCGGTTCTTCCTCTTTATGTGCTCAGAATAGCACAGAAATCCCAGACCGTGAAGAGCAGAAAGAAACTTCTGAGCTTCCTCTCACCACATCTTCATCAACCTCTACCTCCGGCTCCACTTCGTCTACCCCTACTGAAACCAGCCCATGTAAAACACCCAAGAAGAAGAAAAAGAAGAAAGAAAACAAGGAGTCAGATGAAAATCCGGCTTCGCCTAAAAAGATGAAGAAACGGCAGTCGCCCGAGTCGGACCTGGACAGCGTGACGTTCACCATCGAAGCGGTAGTGAAAGGAGCTTGGGGTTCAGAAGAGACGCCCAAGAAGAAACCCCGTCCCCCAGAGAGCGAAAGCAGCCTGACTGCGGAACAATCTCCGTCTGTGAAGAAGAAAACAAAACCCAAACCAAAAAAACAACTGAAGTTAAAAGACGACGCCATGCAAGAAGAGGAAGAAGATGCAGACAAAGTTGCAAATAAGCCTCAGGATGTTGAGATGATAACCGAGGAAGCTCCCATGACCCCTAAAACAGAGTGTGAGGATGAATTTGATGTAAAAGTGGAGCCCCCTTGTGGCATGGAGGACGCAATGTTGCAATTCTCTCCCATGGAGCCAACAGAAGTGGACGAGAAAGAAGACTCTGACGCCAAACCACTTGAAAGCAGACAGGAAGATAAAGACCCAGAGGTGAAGCAGGAGGTCTGTGGGTCCAGGAAGTCTGAGAGAAGCTGTAAAGGAGCGCTTTATAAGACTCTGGTGTCTGAAGGGATGCTCACATCGCTGAGAGCAAATGTAGACAGAGGTAATGCGTTCTGCATTTTGTTGATTTTATCATATGCTGGATGTGAAACTGATTACCGGTTAGTTCCAATTAATGATGTGGGGCAAGTAGTAACATGGAAAAAATATACTTCCCATTTTTAACGCCTCTGTGTTTTATTCTGCAATGTGACAACACCACACAAAGAGTACTGTGCTTTCTAGCATTTTATCTAAAAACGTGTTTTTGAGGGTCATTGGACTTCCACTGTAGAGCTGAAGATATATTTATTTGAACTCGTATTGTACTGAATTTAATTTAGTTTTTACGCTTAAGGGAATAGCTCTAAAAATACACCAAATCATTTACTCACCCTCAAGTGACTACAAGTCTTTATGAGTTAATGAGATTTTGTGTGTGTGGGTTAAACACAAAAGAAGAGATTTCGAAGAATGTTGGAAACTGGTAGCCTTTGTCATCAATACTGTGGTCATACTTGTCAACATTGGGATGTGAAAATAAGGGATATGTCCACCATAATAAGGGACCCACCCCCCCTAAAAAAATCCCCACATTGCTAAATCTGTTCTTCTGGAGATGTTTCCTCGTAAACAAACAGTTAAAAGGTCAATAATAGACTGGCCCATGCCTAGTCAGTAATTTTCATTCATTCATTCATTTTCTTGTCGGCTTAGTCCCTTTATTAATCTGGGGTCGCCACTGTGGAATGAACCGCCAACTTATCCAGCAAGTTTTTACGCAGCTGATGCCCTTCCAGCCGCAACCCATCTCTGGGAAACATCCACCCACATTCACACACACACTCATACACTACGGACAATTTAGCCTAGCCAATTCACCTGTACCGCATGTCTTTGGACTGTGGGGAAAACCGGAGCACCCGGAGGAAACCCACGCGGAGGCAGGGAGAACATGAAAACTCCACACAGAAACGCCAACTGAGCCGAGGTTCGAACCAGCAACCTTCTTGCTGTGAGGTGACAGCACTACCTACTGCTACTTTAAAAATACACACATCTAACGTTATAATGAAAGCATTTGACTGCTTTCCTAAATTCTTATGCTTATTTAGAACAAAATTAGTTGTGTTTGAAAAAACCCCTACCAAGATCGAATTTGTTGGATGGTATTATTATCAATTATGTTTATATGTCTGTTCAAACACACACCCAGAACCCAGACTTTCACTCTGCTTCAAATCACGCATACAAAATCAGTTTGGAAACAGCGTATATTTATCACTATAGAGCATTTCAGTTAACAGTCATGCATCCGCAATATGACTGTTTTGAGGATTGTATAAGAGGGCCGACGGCACCTGTAATGGAAAAGAAATGAATCGCACCGTTTTTATGTTCATATTTAAGTGTTTTCATGCCTAATCAAAATAAAAGCACAGAACCGACTCACATTTAAGAGCAAGGAATGTCCCCTGGTGGTTCAGCGGTATGGGTTGCAAATAGGGAGGATTGGCTCTTTAATGTTTATTGCCACCCTTCAGAGAAAGACTGAAAATGTGGGAGAAATACGGGAAAATACCTTTACGAGATGATAGTGCAGGGGTGGCCAACCTTGTTTCTGGAGAGCCACCTTCCTGCAGATTTCAGTTGCTACCCATATCAAACACACCTGAACCAATTAATTAGGACCTGAACACCACGTGATAATTACAGGCAGGTGTGTTTGATATGGGTTGCTACTGAAATCTGCAGGAAGGTGGCTCTCCAGGAACAGGCTTGGTCACCCCTGTGATAGTGGGATAGAATTGTAAAATACGGAAGAATCCAGGGAAAAACGGGAGGGTTGACAGGTATGACTGGTAACATTCTTCAAAATATCTTCTTTAGTGTTTAACAGAAAAAAAAGAAGCTCAACTAGTTTTGGAATAAGATGAGGGGGAGGATATCATGACAGAATGTTTTGCTGAACTATCCCTTCAATATGATTCGGATGGCTGGGATTTGAAATAATTTAACGTGAAAGTGAAAGAATTTATGAATGAATGAAAAACATGTTTCTGGTTTGTTTTCTAGGAAAAAGAGGTTCAATGCGAGGGAGTGTGTCAGATCATGAGGGCAGCTGGAATGACGAGAACTGGGGATTTTCTCAAGCTGCTACCAGCAACCCGAAGAAACTCAAGAAGTCCAAGTCTAAAGATGAAACCACCCCAGGGTGAGCTGGAATTTCTCCATCACATTATTCACTGAGGATGCAGTGATTATTCCTGTAAAAGAGTTATTCTTTTGTTATTATTCATCCTATTGAGGCTACTTTTAACTAGCTGATTAATCAGATTATAAAAAAGGCAATTTTCTACAAACATAATCTACAAAATCACTGAAATATAATCATGTCGGGGCTTAAAGTGGTGTCAATGAAAATGTATATCTTTATTCAAGCATGTTGCTGTTATGGTAATTTGCTAAGTAAAAGTGTAGTTGTGCTAAATATTGTATAACTTTTTTTATTTGCTCTGTGTTTTAATTGTATGATTTGCGATAACACAAGGCTTATTAAGGAATGTACAGAAGAACGACTCAGTAGGTAGCACGATCGCATCACAACAAGAAGGCTGCTGGTTCAAGCCTCGGCTGGGCTAGTTGGCATTTCTAGGTGGAGTTTGCATGCTCTCCCTGTGTTCGCGTGGGTTTCCTTCGGATGCTCCAGTTTTCCCCACAAGTTCATAGTCATGTGGTATAGGCTAAAATTGACCGTAGTTATGTGTGAATAAGTGTGTATGGAGGTTTCCCAGTGATGGGTTGCAGCTGGCAGGGCATCCGCTACATAAAACATATGCTGGATAAGTTGGCGGTTCATTCCACTGTGGCCATCCCTGATTAATAAAGGGACTAAGCCCATTGGTGTATTTTTAGAGCTATTCCCTTAAGCCAGTGGTTCTCAAACCTTTTTCATCAAGTACCACCTCAGAAAAAATATTCTCTCCAAGTACCACCATAATGAATAGTATAATACAGTATAATACAGTAGCGAAGTGGGCCCAATAAAGCACCTACAGCTCTGCACAGTTCAAAAATGTGGCACATTTATTCCTATTATTAAGAATATTTATTATTATCAACCACTTTAAACATTATAAAGAGTCTGAACATTAACACTGCACTGTGCTTATATGTTAAAAACAAAAAAAATAAATAAATAAATAAACTAAAAACGTCAACATTTAAATTTAATTGTGCTTTTAGAGGTTAAAAATGGCAGGTTCTGTACTTAAACACCTGGAAACATTGCCTGGACCTTAGAAATATACGCTATATGTCATCCATTCATATATAAATCATTTTTGATAAATTTTGAAATATATGTAACATGTACATGTATGACATAATTGATTCCTATGCGTACCACTAGAAGGATGTCCGCGTACCACTAGTGGTACACGTACCACAGTTTGAGAACCACTGCCTTAAGCCATTCCCATTTTTATCAGTAGTCGCCACAGCGAAATTAACCGCAAATTGTGTTTAATATAAATATGATACAATAGAAATATGTTCCATAAATAGTATGCTTCGTGAGCTTTTTTGTTGCCTATGCATTTTGTGCATGCTAAAATTTAACACAATTCAGGCTGATATGCTTGCAAAAATACATACTTTCCCTTTTTGACGCCTTTGTGTTTTATTCTGCAAAAGTGACAACACCACAAAAGAGTATAAATTGTGCTTTCTAGCGTTTTATTCAAGAAAGTGTTTCTGAGGGTTTTTGGACCTCCACTGTAGAACTCAAGATATATTTATTTATTTATAAATATGATATAATAGGGACGACAAGGTGGCTCAGTGGTTAGCGCTATTGCCTCACAGCGTGAAGGTCCTGGCTTGGTCAGTTGGCATTTCTGTGTGGAGTTTGCAAGTTCTCCCTGTGTTGGTGTGGGTTTCCTCCGGGTGCTCTGGTTTTCCCCACAGTCCAAAGACATGGTGAATAATATACCGCAATATATACCGCAATATATAGCACAATATATAATGCAATATATATCACAATATATAAAGCAATATATATCATGAAATGTACAGCAAAATATACCGCAATATATCACAATATATACCGCAATATATATCACAATATATAATGCAATACATATCACAATATATACCGCAATATATATGATAATATGTACCGCAGTATATATCACAATATATACAAAATATACCACAATATATACCGCAATATATATCACAAAATATACCACAATATACCGCAATATATATCACAATATATACCGCAATATACAGTTGAAGTCAGAATTATTAGCCCCCCTGAATTATTCTTCTGTTTATTTTTTTCCCCAATTTCTGTTTAATGGAGGGAAGATTGTATCAACACATTTCTAAGCATAATAGTTTTATAAAACAATTTCTAATAACTGATTTATTTTATCTTTGCCATGCTGACAGTAAATAATATTTTACTTGATATTTTTCAAGACACTTCTATACAGCTTAAAGTGACATTTAAAGGCTTAACTAGCGTAATAAGGGGAACTAGGCAGGTTAGGGTAATTAGGCAAGTTATTCTATAACGATGGTTTGTTCTGTACACTCTCGAAAAAAAATAAAGGGGCTAATAATTTTGTCCCAAAAATATTTTTTTAAAAATTCAAAACTGCTTTTATTGAAGTCGAAATAAAACAAATAAGACTTTTTCCAGAAGAAAAAAATATTATCAGATATACATCACATCACAAAATATACCACAGTATATACCGCAATGTAAATCATAATATATACCGCAGAAAAACAAATCGCGATGTCAGATTTTTTCAATATCATGCAGCCCTACACTAAAGGCTAAAAAAGTTAACCAACATGCTCAGGACTGATTGATATAATGTTATAAATGATCAGTTTCTCAAACAAACCCACCATTTAGCCTCGTAAGAGCTCAAGGTATAGTCAGTGTATTTATTTTGTTTTGCCTGTGTATGCACTTTTTCCCCTTTTAATTGCGTATTATGAATCATCAAGTACAAATAATCATTTTAATACGTTTAATTGTTGAAAATAATGTTGTAAACTAACTTGACACATTTCTCAAAAGCCGTCCATTTCTGTGCATTCGATGAGTAACTCTTTACGTAGCATAACATTACACATTTCAAGCATGCACCATACTCATATTTGTCACCCCATGATCATAGTTTACCAGTATACAGTTCCATTGTATGTCACTGTGCAAGATTGGAGTTAATCTAGAAGAGCCTGAATTCAGGTGAGCAGACGCTGCACACAGGCACACCTAATGCTTTACTATCTATAAACTTCTCAGACTAGGAAAGCTTGAGGAGGAGTTCGAGAAAAAGTTCAACAGCTTACCACAGTACAGCCCCCTGACATTTGACAAAAAGAGCGTGGCGGTCACCAAGAAGAAAAAAAACAGTACGTCCAGCCCTCCCGAACCGCCCAAAACCTGCAAGGGTGAGTGCGCTCCATGCATGGAAACTGACATCACTTCCTCAAGGCCCACACACACTCCTCATTTCCTCATTGGCTTTACTTTCTTAGGAACTAGTCATCTCATGTTCAGAATGACATGATCTCCATCTAACATAGCATGCTGTGTTGTATTTTTTTTTATTATTTTATTTTTTTTGCTATTTTATTGCTTTTGAAATTAGGTTCATCCTCATCTCAGAAAAAGACCTTATTCCACAAGATAGTGAACAAGTACAAACACAGGAAGGAGAAATCCAGTGGCACAGACAAAGGTGAAACTGCACAGCCATTAAAAACTGTTCTTCATTTTCTGTTCAAATGTCACATGTGTGTGTGTGTGTGTGTGAGTGTTGGAAACTGTGCCCGTTTGTATTGGTTGTTGTTTGTCCGTGGTTTATCTGGTGTTTCAGTATTTCCTGCCACAAAGAATTGAACGTGGTCATATCTAGGTCATTGTGTAGTCTTTCCTTAAATGGGCACCCGTGCCACCTTTATGTAAATACTATCGTCCAGTAAGCCACAATACAGCTAGATGAATCCCATTTTGTATGCCTAAAGCATCATTTATTTTCAGAATGTCTGCATTGTGATGTTGTTTCTTCTTTTTTTATTTGTTCATGTATTTATTGATTTATTTTAGAAGTCGCCATGTTTGAGCCTGTGGCTACAGAAAGCAGTCCAGCGGTGAAGTCGAGCAGTCCGTGTGTGTCTCCTTCTCCCGAACCGCAGAAGATTTTGGACATACCTGTGGGAAGTCAGAAAAGAAAGGCTCGGAAGAATAAAATCACACATTTGGTGCGCACGGCTGATGGTCGTGTTTCACCTGCAGAGGGTGAGCTGAGCCACAGTTTCCTGTTGCAGAGTTTTATTGAACATTTCTCAGTAGCTAATTTAGTCCAGAGACGTTGTGTACTCTTTTAAACCATAGGTCTCAAACTCAATTTCTGGAGGGCCGCAGGTCTGCACAGTTTTGTTCCAAACCTAATCAAATGCAGCTGATCCAAATAATCAAGTCGTTCAAAACCAATAGAGTTTATTAAGCAGGTGTGCTTTGGAGGTGGTTGGAGCTGAACTATGCAGAGCTGTGGCCTTCCAGAAATTAAGTTTGAGACCATTGCTTTACACTAATAATTGAAATGCTTTCTTCCCCTTTATATTGGAATGTCTTGTTTATTTTTTTCTTAGTTAAATTGACTTATTTATACAAAAACCCTTTAAAAATGTAATTCAGTTTAACAGTAGTTTATGCATCAAATAATATAATGTGCCATTTGAGCATATAAACTAATTCACTGTCATTTTATTATTTTTTTAAACCTTTTTTATTATTTTTTTAGACATTAAAACACAACAACTTACAACTTTGGTCCAACAAACATTCACACCACAATTGACAATAATAAAGCATGCAATATACAAACAATCCATAAATAAGTATAGTGATAACAGATTAATACAATAAAAAAATCATAATATTACAATTAAAGTAAAGTTACAAAAAGGAAATAAATAATGAGATAAATACTATAATAAATAAATAATAATAAAAATAATAAATAAAATAATAATAATCTTCTGTTTTAAACTAAATTGGTCTGATCTTCTTCAATTCAACTATTTCTTGCAGAATTAATGTTTTTAAAGTAAGCCATGAAAGGTTGCCCGATTTTATTGAATTCGTCTTCTTTCTTTTTTGGGAGAATCTGATTTTCTTCTGTTCCAAATGTTTCATTACATCCCTCACAAGATGTATATATGTAGGAGCGGCTTTCTGTTTTCAGTTTAATTCACTGTTATTTTAAATGAATTCTTTTCCACTATCCTTCAAAATTCTAGTTTTTACCATAGACTGTAAAATATATGGACGTAGTGTCCGTGACGTCACCCATAGGTTTCTGAAGAGCGCAAAAGAAGCCACAAGTAGGCGCGGCCAACCGTCGCCATTTTGCTCGCGCTTCATCACACCCACGGCGGGATACCAAACAAGGGCAAAGAGGCGGAGAGTGAGCGGAGCTCTAGACACCTGCTGGCATTTAGCTTGGACCTGGTTCAGACACACTTTACTTTGGGAGAACGCTTAATACTTTATCACCTGTGACTCGTTTGTATTCTGACCACTTGTGCTTTGTTGTATACTATATCAATAAAGTGTTTAGACTTTTAAAAACACTGCTGTAACACATTGAGCCACTAAACATTGTTCTTATGACGTTTTTCAACAGAAGGAAAACGCAAATTGCTTCCAAACACTTCAGATATAGTCTGTGTTAGTTACTGTAAGACTATTAATGAAATCCAG